ACCACGAAGTAATTATGTGCACGCCTATGAGGGGCATGACTTTTGGGACCGGCTCAAGAATTGCAGAAAAGACCACAAACAGTACAAGAGAATGTATTGTATCCAAGTGCAAAAGGGACACTGCTAGATGTTTTATTTTGCTTTCTCGTTCCATGTAATCGACTGATGCTTACTTCTCAGTGCAGCTATATCAATTTTGTACATCTTTAGCTCCAATGCAACCAGAGCTGTTTTTTTTTTCTAGTGCTAAGTTGTTGTCCTGGAGAATTCGTACATTCCAAGTGACAAGATGAAGTTGATGTTGTTTCGTAGTGTTTTTCGCAGTAGCCGGATATGTGTGGAACTAATTAGATATAGTTGTCAGAAAACCAACACAATGATTTGTTTCAAGTGGTGAAGGCTTATGTTGGTGTAACACTATCGCTAGTACGATATAGTAATTTACTGAGGATAGCTTAGATGTGGCACATGACCGAAATTATGTAGGATAGAACTCACTACTCAGTCCTAATTGATCGAGCTATTTTCTAAGCATAGCTTAGATGTGGCACAAGGCCGAAAGTAGGGGTCACCCAGTGAGGATCAAACTCACTACTCAGTCGTAATTGATCTAGCGAAACAAGTTTGCTAACCATTACACCAGGCCGAGTTGCCCTTGACAGTATGATATATATCAATGGAAAGATGGCAGTTATCGCCCATGCTCACAATTGTTGCCTTGTTCTCAACATCACCAAAGTAATGTTATATCTGAGTACTAGTACTTACCAAGTACTAGTCAGTTTTTAGAAATAAAAAGAGATATTGCGCGGGATTGAACTGCCACTTTAAATTCTTATAATGAAACAGGAGGAAAGTTAGCGTTAGTTTAACTAATAGAAAAATGTTATTTTTTTTAATATATAGATATGAAAACAAAAGAGTTTTCTGTGGTTGTAAGGTAATGCTTAACGAGGCCACTCTGATTGACTTTTACTACTAATACGTTCGGTCTTCACTGGGTGCCCCAATATGAAATTTGACATGAAATAATCCAACAAAGGCCCACATGTGAAATTAACAACCCTAACTCTGGGTGGAAGCTAATTACGGAGGTTAGTTTATTTGATTATTACTACTGAGTAGTGATTTCGAGTCTCACTCCCTTGTCCCATGCTAAATTCGTCATGTTGATATGTAAAGTCAACCAACATAACAGGCCGTGGGGTAATGATTAGCGAGGCTTGTCTGGTTTTCTATTACTGCTGAGTAATGTTTTTGGTGTTCCCCATACGAAATTCAACCAACCTAACTCAGCGTCTGATAATGGTTAATGAGCCTAGTCTAGTTGAACATTACTACTGTGTTACGTATTTGAGCCTCACTGGGTGCCCCATACGGAATTCAATATTTAATAATTCAACAGAAGTTAACATGTCAGAAAAATCAATAAAATTCATGAGCCCGCATTTCTTATTCAATAATTACTGCAGCCATTTTATTCCTACGGCCGTATACGTTGAAACACCGGTTCCCGTACAATCACCGAAGTTAAGCAACGTCGAGCTTGGTCAGTACCTAGAATACCAGGTAATAGATAATGACTCGGAATTGTTAATCGGAGAGCCGAGTTCCAATTCCCGTTCGATTCGCTATATTCACACGTGCTTATACCCTTGTGAAAGGTATGAATCAATTCCTTCTCTCCCCCAGTATGGGTTAATTAGTAAGATTTGTATCACTAAACCATTATTATCTCAAAAAAAAAAATTCTTAAAATCTAAAAATATTTTCTGGCTTTAAATAATCTGAAAAAATCTGCCGAGCCGTAAAAAACGAATCAACCAACCAATCCTAAACTTATAAAATCCGCGATTTTAAAAAATATAAACAAAATAAATAATAATGAAAGTCATAAAAAGATTTTTATTTATCGAAAAGGGGATAAAAATAAAACTAGTATCGTATTCAATATATTTCTCGAAGCAAAAGTTACATACTATCAGATACTACATGATCCATATAGTTGTTAATGTGCAAAAACATCTCAAAATCAGTAAATATATTTTAATGAAAATGAATGTGAAAATCTTTCCCAAGATTCAGATGTTTATTTCTGTCAACGAACTTCCAAATAGTATTTGTTAACACATTACCTGACTAACCGCAAAAGATAAGTAAATTTTTATTAATGAACATCACGCACTAGTCCCAAGAGATGATTCCACAAACCAATAATCGATGGTCAGTCAATTAGCTACAAAGTAGGTTAATAAGCAATCAATACACTTCAAAGAAGGTAATTCTAACCTTTGGCTGCGTCATTAGTGCTTTTTTATTTAAAAAAAAAAATGACCTTAACTAGAGAAGGCCTTTTCACCTTTGTTTAAAATCTACGTTTTGCCTTTCTTAGGCAAACGTATGAGTTGACCTCCGAGGGTGAAACCTGAGATCTCGCAGTCCGTGGTCCAATGCTCTGTACTTAGAGGTAGAAATGTAATGAACGAAGATCATAAATAAACGCCTGTTACCAAGACTCGTTGATGCACGCGCTGTTAGCGCCAAACGACGGACGATAAACAATTCAAGATTGGTTTACGGAGAGACGCACTGCTGATTTCCGGTCGCCATATTAACGTACACGAAAAGCTGAGAGGTTTTGAGGTTCGAATTTCGTCAGGAGCAGGAAGAACTCCGCGCGTTCGATGCGGGTGAGTTAGTGGGTCAATGTGCAGGTTGTATGTTGACAGGCCAGTATTGAGGTTTGATGGATAGCGAATAATGGGAGAGATTAAAGCACGCTTCACTGTTGTCAGATCGAGTCATCCTTGACGATTGCTGTTAAAAATCGTCTCTCAGCTAATGTTTGCCTCATTCTGGTAGAACTTAGTAGCGTAATGTTTTTATTTCTAGATTTATATTGAATATATATATATATATATATATATATATATATATATATATATATATACTGCTTCAAACGTTATAATTAGTGGATGCTCGTCTTTGAAATAGACGCCCGATTTTTTTTAAACAGTGCGTATTACATCTATTATACTGCACATTCAGGAAATCATAATAAATAAAATGTGCTCTCCGGTAGGGATCGAGCCCGCGTCACCGTTTGATCTTGTCTGCTTTACCTTTCGGCTACAGAGAGCGTCACTGTCCAACAAGGCTCTATTTTCCCTTTTTAACGAAAGCCCATATCTGCTCAGTTTTGTATCCAAAATATAAACAAGTCATTTCTAAAGGATTAATGGTTTTATTTCATTTCATTTATTTTATTTTAATGCGAAATTTTTATTACGCCAAACGTTATTATAGCGGATACTCGTATTTGAAATAGACGCTCTATTTTTATTTTTATCTTACGTGTGTCATATAAGATTTTTCCTATCAGAATCGAAAGACGAATTATTTTAAACAGTGTCTATTTCGTCTGCCGTGAGAGAGAGAGACAGAGAGAGAGACAGAGCGTCTATGTGCGTGTGTCATATGAGAATTTTCCTATCAGAATGAAAGACGAATTTGGGGTACGTGATAGGCTGGTAGTGTAACGGTTATCGGCGCGAAAAATGAAATTGGCGAGTCGAGTTCAAATTCTACTCTAATCTGTTCTTGGAATAATGATAAGTAGAGACTACCATCATCATCATCATCATCATCAGTCTTATGACCGAGTATGGCGGTAGTGTCGCTTCGCAACTGAGAACCTGACTAGTTTCCCTGCACATATCTGGATCGAAAGCCGGAGATCTATTCATGTGTGCGCAATGTGTCTTGGGTAAGTACTCCTGGTGAAGCCCATCCCTCTGCAGGTCAAACAGCAGCCGATATCCTTCAAACTGTAGCTTCGCCTTGGTCACAGATACGTGGCTATTGATACCATCGGGTGAACCCTCCGCCATGGTCGTTGACTTCAGTCTAGGAAGCCCACCGCCCAGCGATACCACGTCATCACTGCACTGGCTGCGTACATAACTCTAGAGCTTCGCTAAATGGCTATTGACGCTACAAGTATATCCGTCCTTTTACAGGCCTTGTTTTAATTCTGCTCAATGTCTAGCCACCATCATTAACAGAAAAAGCTGGAAGGGTAACAAGTTTAGTCGCTGATGACACAACTATGTGACAAGTAGTCCTGGGTTACATGGTAGAGTGACCTGACATAGAGACTACTGTACTTGAATGTTTACTTTGATGTGGCTTTATGCTAAACTCAGGCAAGTTTTGTAATTAACTGTATGAAAAAATGATAATTGAACAGAGAAACAATTATTCATGTGAAATGGAGAGTACCCGCTGAAGAATGATGACTACAAGACAATCTTGTAAACCGTTACTATGTTATTTCACTTTGAAAATGAAACTAGTAGCAATTAAAACGGAATAGTACCGATCCAATTTGAATAATGCCAATCAAGATTAAATAAAAATTGTGCTGAAACGATAAAAAAAATATTCACAATTCATTGTTCAAACAAGCGGACAAAAATGCCCAACGTCGTTCACATACGCACGCGCGTGTGCGTGGCAGCACTCATACACACGCCTGCGCGTATGTGCCTACATGTAGAATGTCGTGGTTATTTCTCCTTTTCATCGTTTTTCTTGTCACTTTATATCTTCTCCTTATTGGTTTTATACTTTTTCTCTTTCGTTCAGTTGTAGCAATTTTGACATCCGGTTTTCCAGATATTCACTGTTCTTATTAATTCTTGAGAGTTCTAATGTTTTCTTGAGTTTGGAAAAATTGTATTTCATTTCCTACATAAATATTTTTTTGTTAATGCTTAAATGATAAGGTAAATGCTTATATATGTCTTCACTTCGCTATTATTTCGTTTTTCTTATTTTATTTGGTTGTATCTTAAGTATTAGAGTGTTAATCATAGGAGGTTATGTTTATAATTAAAATTTTACTTATTGTTGTTTGAATAAAATAAATAAAAAGAGGTGGTTAATTTGTGACCCGCCCTAATCGTACATAGAGGGAGAAATTTTTCCACCTGAAACAAATGAAAAACCCACAAAATGCGAGAGAAATAAAGGTAAGAATGCCAGGAAAATTAAAAAAAAATAATCTTTGCGAGATTTTTTTAAAAGATGGGAAAATAAAAATAGGAATGGTAATCTGGCAAAGAATCGAAAATAAAACTTTGAGTCCTGGATTCTATAATCACAAACCTAGGTAAGAGTAAGTAGCTTAAGGTGACAAAGCGAATTTCGCTCCTTCACCGACACTTCAAGAATCAGAAAAGCCACTTGTCGATACAGTCCAAAATAAAGAAATATATATTTTTATTCACTTTTGATCGGAGCAGTTCTATTTTGATTGTCACCATTTTCATTTTGAAAGTGAAATGGTAGAGTTTATTAAGACTGCCTGGAAATGATCCAGCTACTTAATATTAAGGAAAAAATCGTTTATGGTAATGAAACCTGAGTCTTTTACAAAATACTCCCCATTGTATCTCACACATTATCCCAACATAGCTCTCATTTCTCAAAAAAAAAAAATAGGCTACAAAATCTTTCGGAATTATCACCTAGTTTTCCGCATTCTGTTAAATCTCAGTAACAATCTACAATTTCCTTGCTTTCAACACTCCTGGTTTCTCCTACAGGTAGCTAGCTGTAGACTGTAGGAGATCTGTCAGACCAGAGTGATGCTATGTATTGCCCTTACCATAAAAGAAAAAAAAAATGCATAGACGTGAATAAGTGGCAGTAGACATATTAAAAATGCCTGTATATTTTCTGATGTTAACTTTTACTGAATGCACATCATCTTTACTTTATGCTAGAATAAATCCAAATTTTGTAAATATCTACATAGGGCGTTTATTCCAAGTACCTATTGCTCGAATATTGAACTTACTTCTCAGTGCTCTTTAATTGTGGCCTGGTACCACACTTAGTGAATATCTATATCATATGGACGGAAACTCGGGTTTTATTTTGAGAAAAACGCTAACAAAATAATCAGCCTGGATGGACACCGTATTGAAAAAAGAGACATCTGATAGGGTTTAGATAAGCGCTTGCGTTCGTTTTCATAAGGTTAATGAAAGGAGAGGCTAAAAAAGATGTAATGCTTAATAACTGTCTCTAACTGGAGCCTGTGGTTTTTGATAAAAGTTTGGAAGAAATATCAAGAAAAAGAAAGAAAACAAAAGATATTTTTAAAAAAAATGTAGATGGGGAGAATGAAAAGTGTAAAAGGTAAGTAATGAAGAAAGAAATCAATTTATGTTCAGGTTGGTCTATATCAAGGATGATAATAGGCGTATCATGTTTTTACATTTTGTCTCCTAATGGAATTTTTATGTGGCGTGGCAATCAGTGGTATAAAGGGAAAGGACGAACACTTTCGCTCTCTCTCTATTTCTTTTTTTTTTTTTTTTTTTTTTTGCTCCCTCGCCCATAGGATTCGATAGCTACAAGACGTTCCTCCTCGGGGAGACAAGTCCCGAGCAAGCCGATATCTTAAATTCACCAAGCCACATGGAGCGCGCGCACATACACACGCACACAAACAAACAAACACACAAATACACACACTACTGACAATCCCATAAATGATTTTCTTTCTTGAGTTATCTCGTAACTCGTAAATATTTTCTCATTCTCTTCTTTTTTGTGTGTTATGTTGTTTATATTATATATATATATATATATATATATATATATATATATATACACACACACATATATATATATATATATATATATATATATATATATATATATATATATATATAATCATCCATATATTGAATACCTTTGTTTTGAAAATCATTAACCGCCTCCATTACAATGTCGTAAAACCTGTCCGCTACGCAGTCATTACTGCTTGGGCTGTAGTTATGGGAGAAACATTCAGCCAAATTATCATTGATGTAACGGCATGCCAGAGACTAGACATTTTTTCTGTTGATAGGAATGAATGCAGATATTTAGGTTCATGCTTTTTCAAAGTGAAGTAGTGCCAAGTAAATACTGCCAGCCTTTGTCGAAATTCGAACTTAGCTTGACGATTCCATATTGACAAATGTTACGCCATTGCATACCTCTCTCCTTGGAAAAAAAATAAGACAAGGATGTGTTGAGAGTGGAGAAAACACTTAACAAATTGTTCTCTTGACAATTAAATGGGGACAGGCAGAGAACTGAAATAGAAAGGAACAAATAAAAAAATCTCAACAACCACAGGTGACGCCATTTTCTTTCTTTTCTATTCAGGAAATTCTTTTTTTGGATTATAATATTTCCGTTTTATTTCCTTGTTTCGTTCTTTCTTTCTTTCAGTCTTTATTTCTTTTTATCATATTCAGCAATTTCATTTCTTTTCATCATTTTTATATTTCCTTTTTTCTTTCTTTCTTTCTGTCTGTCTTTCTTTATTTCTTTCTTTCTTATTCAGCCACTTTATTCAACCACATTGTCTTTGTTTTCATTTTCACCTTTCTTTCTTTTTCTTTCTTATTCATCATCTTTCTTTTTTTTTCTTTTTCTTTTTCATATTTCATTCTTTCTTTCTTTTTGTTTCTCTTTCTTTATTTCTTTCATGTTCGGCAATTTCTTTTTCTTTCTGTTTTCCTTTTTTCTATGTCATTCAGTCACTTCTCGTTATTTCTTTCTTCAATTTCATCTTTCTTTTTCCTTCTTTCTTTTTCCTTCTTTCTTATTCTTTCTTTCTTTTTTTCTTTCTTTCTTCTCCCACTACATACGTATGTGTATGAAAGAGAAAAAATGTCAGCAGGTGTATGAATAAACGGGGGGAGACTGAAAAGTTCATAGGCTGACTAAGAAGGGGTGATGCTAGAGCCATGAAATCTTGCATGCATTAATTTCAACTCTTATTAAAAAATGCGTTTTTTTTCGGTAAATTAACATCTGACTGTTCAAAGAAGACTTCAAAAGTCATTAGTAGCGACTTCTCTTGAAAATAGACAAAATTTGGCACCGTAGCATTATCAAGTACCTGTATAAAAAAGGCTTTACTAAAGGAATTGATCGTGTTCACCACATGGTGAGGGATAACAGGTGACTGGCTATAAATCAAATAACCAATGCTATTAGCATATGCCGTAAGAGGGTTGAAAATATTCTGCACAATGATTTTGGCATAATAAAGGTTTCTGCTCGGTGGGTACCGCGTCTTCTGACACCTGATCAAAAGCACACCCGGTGTGATCACATCACGATAAAATCTGACAGATTCAGTTGGTTTCCTTGAACGTTTCCTAACCCATGATGAGTGTTGGGTTCATTACTTTGAGCCAGTGACAATCCATGCAGTGTAAAACTTCCCTCTTCACCTGCTCTAAAGAAAGCTAAGATCGTTTTATCTGCAGGGAAGGTGATGGCCTTAGTTTTTGGAATGCAAGAATCATTGTGTTTATTGACTATCTTCAAAAGCTCCATCAATGGAGAGTAAAATGCTGGGGAAGTTACGAAAGACTATCAAAACCAAACACTCAGGAAAACTGAATAAAGGGATCGTGGTTCATCAGGACAATGCTCCAGCACACAAATCCTTGATTTCAGTGGCTGCTGTTCGTGACTGTGGCTTTGAACTGGTTGATCATTTCATACTATTTTGATCAGTCTATGAACTATTCAGCCGACCGTCGTATATGAATAAGGCATATTTCTCTAATAATTCTGGAGGACACGCTTCACTGCTCTCTTCCTTACCTCCTCCCTGGACTCGTGTCATGCTCTGCAGATCTGTCCTCTTGGCAACTCCGAACACGCCATAGTGTCTGTAGATATCTCTTTCTACCCTCCCTTCAGGAAAGGACCACCTATTAAACAGAACATGTTTCTATTATCAACGCACTGGTTGTGTTTTATTTCGTGATTTTCTTTCAAGTGACCCTTGGAATGATCTTTTAATCATCCTATATATGTCACTAAGGTTTCTTCCTGGATGAAAGCCGCCCTCAAATCTTTCGTGCCAACACAGAAATACTGTGAAATCACAATATTGTTCTTAGGTCTCTCTTGCCAATTCAGCCGCTATAGTCCACAGGAATCACTTCTTCCGGCTATACCAGAGGAACGATTGTAACAGACATCTCTTTTTCACCAATTGTAATGAGTGTAAGCGTATGCTTAAGCAGGCAATGTCACTATTCGCTCATAGAATGTAACACCGTATAGCCTCTCACAATGTTGGTTCTAGAGATTACTGGAGGCTCTGTAAGAGTGTACTGATCAAGAGTAAAGCCTCAGTCCCTCCGCTCTTGAATCAATGTAAAGTATTGTCATGTACTGCAGATAAAGCAGGCTGCTTTGCACGGAAATTCTCTCCCAATTGCACTTTCGATTCGACTGGAACATTTCTGCCTGATTTTCGACTAGAACAGAGTCTCTACTGAGTGACATGCACATAACTCCGTCCATGCTTTCTGCTATCGTTTCTAAACTGGATCACCACAAGGCTTGGGGATTTCACTGTATCCCTGCAATTATCCTTAACAAATGTGCACATGAACTGGCTCCTGTTCTCTCCAAATTTTACAATAAACGCTTTGCTGCTTCTTGCTTTCCAACACTTCAGAAGTCCTCTTTAGTTCCCGTCTTTAAGATCTCTGGAGAACCTTCTGACCCCTCAAATTATCGACCCATTAGTCTCGCCTATTTTTGGCAAAATGATACTAAATAAAAAATCATCGCTGAATTTCAAATAATTTTCTTCCTTACTTTTTTTGTATTACTTCGGATAAACAACGTGGTTTCCATTTCTCCAAGTTTACCGCCGATGTGTTAATGGCTACCACTGAATTTGTCTGTCAAGATTTGATAAGAACAGCGAAGAGCGGGCTGTGACTCTTGATATCTCAAAGGTGTTCGACAGTGTTTGGCATGTCTCCACAAAATCGAGGGCTACAGTGTCACTGGATTCATCTAATCATTCCTAACTAATCGTGTAATTAATGTCGGGTTGAACAGACATGCTTCTATATCATTTCATATTAATGCGTAGGTAAAAAAAATATTGTTAATGTATCAACAGTTGATATCCTTGGACCTATATCATCTCTTATCTTCATCAACGACCTTCCCGGTCTAATCAGTCCCAACTAGGTATTTATGCAGATGACACAACACCATTTACTCCTGTCTTAATAGCAAATCCTACAGTTCCGACAAAGTAAAACCGGCAACTGCTCTCGAAAAGGACGTCCATTTACTGGTTAACTGGGGCAAGGAATGGCTTTTAAATTTTAGCGCCTTCAAAACAAAACGGTTTTCATTTAATCACCATAGAGGACATTTTCTGTCTGCCATCAGCATGACCGAGACTAACCTTCAGGAAAGCAACTCTTTACACCTTCTTAGACCCATGTTTTTCACTGACATGAACTGGAATGATTATATTGAATAAATAGTCCTATTAGCCCTCAACCCCTTTTTGGCAAAGTAGTAGAGGCTGAATTGGTTAATTACCTCACTTCGCAAGGTCTTCTTTCAGATAAGCAATATGGCTTTCGCTTCTTTGGGTCAACTGTTGATACATGAACGATTATTGCTAAAAGAGTCTATCAAGCTTTAGATAAGAATAGGGACGCTCGGGTTGTAGCTTTGGACATTTCAAAGGCATTTGACAGGGTTTGGCATATCGGTCTTCTTCACAAGTTGAAATGTTATCGTATTTTTGGTCAAATTGTTGAAGTGATTCAAACTTTCTTATCAAATAGTGAAATGAAGGTTGTCTTGAACGGACACACTTCTAGATTTTTTTGCATAAATGCACGTCTCTATCCTTGAACCTACGTTGTTCCTAATTTTTATCAATGGCTTTCCGGATGACTTCAGCTCTCAACTCGGTATCTATGCTGATGACACAGTCATTTACTCCTGCCTTAATAATACGTCTTATCTATTCAATAAGGTCAAATTGGGAGCTGATCGCGAAAGTGACCTAAAATATGCTGTTAACTGGGGAAAAGAATGGCTTGTTAATTTGAACACTTCCAAAACAAAACTGCTCTCTATTAATCATATGATAAATTCAACTGCCTTCCATCATTATTGATGCTAAACTCAGAAAATTTTTTTTTGCGCCTCCTCCGGCTAAAGTTCTCTACTGATATGAAGTGGAAAGATTATATTGAATCAATCGCTAGATCTGCTGCTAGGAAAGTTGTTTCACTGTGTCGTACTAGACAGTTTTCTTCCCAGAATCTATCTTACATTCGTCCATGCTTCGAATGTTGCCGCCACATGGCCTGGTGCATTAGCTATATATTTAGAGATTCTTGATAGAATCCAAAGAAGAATCTGCGATGTTACTGGTCCTGACCTGACATCTCGGCTTTAGCCACTTTCCCACCACCGTAATGTAGCTATTCTCTGCATTTTCTATAAATACTTTCATGGTATTTTTCTGGTTATCTTTCCGCTATAGTATATACACTTTATGAGTTTAAGCACAGTACTAAATTGGCACCAAGTTCTCGTCATTTTACAGTTAAATTGGCTAGATGTAACTGTTCTTTGCTAACACTTTATTTTCTCGTAATTCTCGCCTTTTGAAACTGTGACGTCGTCCCCGGTCGCAGCGCCAACTGTGACGTTCTATCCCGATCTACCACGGCGCCAGTTGTGACGTTCCGTTCATCCTGATCCCGGTCACGACACCAGTTGTGACGTCCCCTAAACAGCACCAATTGTGACGTCTTCGCCGCGGCGCCAGCTGTTCGCTCCTCGCTGCTCCGTCCGGGTGTCGCTGCTCCAAACGTGACGTCCGCCTGTCGCGTCAGTCGTGTTGTCTCGTCCTGTGACGACCAACTGGCTTGGTATCGGTCGCGGCACCCAAATGTGACGTTCTAACCTTTTGGTGATTCGGGTGGGAATCTGGTTAGATTTGATATCAGCCTCGCCGTTCCCAACTCGCTTCCAACGCCTGGTTACCAAGGTAACTGCACTGATCTCCAGTCTGCCTACCCACGTTGTGAATTGATCTTAGACAGACGAGATCAAACAGGGGTTGGGGCCGTAATGCAAATTGAGTTCAACGGGGGTGATAACACACAAATATGCATAAAAGAAAATAAAATGAAAACTCAAAAAGTTCAAAGTATCAAAGAAAAAGGTAACAAACTTTTTATGTCTAGTTGTTCGATACATAGGACTGCATCTATCTCCCGACCCGTTCTGTGGATTGTGACACGTCGTTTTCGCTAGGCAAGTTTTAACGCTTCAAGTTGTTTGCTCTCTAAGAAATTTGTGTTTCGGTGTGTCTTTGGACGAAAGTCGAAAAAAAAAACTTATTTCTGTGGTCTGGTTCTAAGTCGCTCTTCAAAATAATTGTTCTTGGTTGAAGAGGAGTCCAAAATTTTGCGTGAATCTTGGTCAGCTATCTTGATCTATCATCTCTGCCGCCAGGGCTCTGACTGTCTTCTGCCGCCAGGGTCCAACTCTCTGGGGCCAAACTCTAACTCCGCCTGCCAGGGGTCGAACTAACTCTGCCCTGCCGGGGTCGAACGAACTCTTCTCTGCCTCTCCTGCCGTCCGGGCTCTGCCTGTCTGTTGGGGCCTCGTTTTTATTGACGCCGACCAAAACCGGGGTGGGTCTGTTGGCGTCGGGGGTTCCTCGATAATTCTAAATACATATCCACCTCTTTTTATTTCTGGTTAGGGATTTTCCACTCTTTTCCATTTTTGGTAACTTTTTTTCTCCTCCCACTTTCTCACCATGCTTCTGAGGGGCGTGAACTGCCCTCCCCACTTCTTCGTAGCGGCTTCTCATACTTATACTCTGGATGGGGGCGTCGACAGCCTTCTTCGTGCGTCACGTGACCACTCTCGGCCAATGAGGTCTTGGTCGGGTATCTTTCCTCCCTCCTTCGTGCGTCATGTGATCACCACTTGACCAATGACGTCTTAGTCGGGCGTGAACAACCCGCGGCTTTGTTTTGGAAAAAAAAAATACCTTGCTTAACTAAAAAAAAAAATTATCTCTTCTCTTTTTTTTTTTCTTTCTTTCAAATCGCCGTTATCATGAACGGATAATGTGACAACTTTTGTTCAACACGTGGCGTTTGTCAAAGCAGTTTATCAGTAATTCATCAGACGGCTGGATTTTCCGACATGGTCTCAAAAAAGAATTTTCTCCAAGTTTTCAGCCAGTCTGACGTCTCCAAGGAAGAATAAAAAAAATCCCATTCATTTTCCTTCGGTTCATGTGTCTGATAACAAAATTTTATTATCGCAGGGCAAAATTTGTTTTGTCGAAAAAAAAAATTAACTAGTGAAACTACTTGTGTGGGATTTTAATTTTCCATATCCAGCTAAGGCTCCAAGTTACACCTGTGTTTTGTCAATTATCAAAATCTAACGTTTTCAAGTGGACTTTCTTTGGTGACCATTTCTTGATAACACAATTCCATTCGCGCGGACAAGTGGGAAAATCGGTCAATGCTTGTTCGCAGGTGGCCTTTTAATTTTGATATAAGATGTTTTTTTTACCAATAGTTTAGATAACATTCCCTATCCAAATATCTCATTGTCATTGTAATGACACTCTTTTCGCCATTTTTTCTTATCCAAAATAACCCTTTTTTTTTTATTGCCTTCTTAAGCCGTAGTTTGTTTTCGCCTATGATCCGTTTCGCATTACCCACTTTCATTTTCATTGTCATTGTAATCTTTTTTTTCTTTCAAAATAACCCTGGATGCATTTCCGCCACAAAACTTTCTTGTGGTTTCTTGATCCGTCAAAAAGCAAATTTGATCTTCAAAATGCAATGTCAATCGTTGCATGGTCTACTGTCTTCTTTTGATTCAACTTCTTTTGTTATTCTTCCTCCTTAATGTTTTTTCTTTTTCTTTCACACTCTGTAACCCCTAGCATCTTAGTAGCTTTATTGTGCTGCTTGGGATGAAATGATTAAAAAAATCGCTAAGTATACTGCAAAGAAAGTTGGTTCACTGGGCCGTACTAGACAGTTTTCTCCTCAGAATCCATTTTTCACTTTTATAAATCTACGATTCGTCCATGCATTGAATGCTGCTGCCATATCTGGCCTGGTGACCCTACAATTTATCTCGCGATTCGTGACAAAATTCAAAGAAGGGTCTGTAATGAAATCGAACCTGACCTGGCATCTCGACTTCAGTCACTTTCTAACCGACGTGGCGTAGCTTCTCTCCGTCTTTTCTACAAATATTTTCAAGGCAATTGCTCTGATGAGCTTTCCCCTTTGTTGCATCGACAGCATGAATGTAAGCGCGCTACTGGATTACCAACTAGGTCTCACCGCTTTACTGTTGAACTGGCTAGATGCAACCGTGTGTTCTAAATTGGTATACGCCAACATCACGTTGAAACACCGGTTCTCGTACGATCACCGAAGTTAAGCAACATCAATCCTGATCATTATCTAGATAAGTGACCGTTTGGGAATACGAGATGATCAAAGCTTGGATGTGCGGGTAATGTAATGGATAATGGCTCGTAATTGTTAATCGGACAGCTGAGTTTCAATTCCCGTTGGGTTCATTATATTCACTTACTCGCAAATACTTTTAGGAAAGGTATGAATCCAACTTTTCTCCCCTCCCCCCAGCTGTGGGTTAATGTTGTCACTGAACCATTATTATCTCGAAAAGAATTTTACAATCTAAATTAATTTCTGGCTTTAAATAACCTGCAAATGTTTGATAAGCTGTAGAAAACGAATCAATCAAATCAAACTATTCTACTCTGTTTCTTTTCACGCACTGTGACACCCCCTTCCGTTTTCTTGCTTCCCTGTCACAATATTTAGAACTTTAAATACAACGTCAATCGTCTTCTTCCGTCCTCCTGAATCCTGTTCCTTTATTGTCCTTTCTCATCTCCCCTCATTGTCTTATATTCTCTCCCTGTAACACCCTGCGTCCTAGTGACATTATCGCCTTACTTGGTGTTAAATGATGAAAAATATACCCTTGTGCAATTGTTTACATGTCCATACAATGTTGTTAAATGAGCGATGAAGTTGGGAAACTATTAGGAATTAAAAAAAAAGGGGGGGAAAGGCTTTCAGAGATCTGCTTGCGTCGAAATTCGAACTCGTTTTACCGACTCCATTCTAATAAACGTTTCACAACATTGCATCTCCACAAGAAACAACGATAAATGGGAGAAATGTAAATACAAGAAAGAAAGAAAAGGTCTTATGGCCGTAGAGTGCTCTGGTAACAATAAAAGTAGCAAAACGAATTAGATCAGCAACTCTTGGAATGAAATATTAACAAAGAGAAAGAAAAATACAAACATGAAAGAAGAAAAAAAGAAAATTAATAAATAAATAAATGATTAAGAAAGAAAGAACAAGTTGAAAAAAGGTTCAAAAGAAAGATTTGTATCGAGAAAGTAACAGTAAAGTTGATGGAAAGGGAGGAGAACCTTCAATAAATGAACAGGAAAAAAAATTGACAGAGAAAGACGCGGGAAGAAAGAAACTCACGAAAAAATGAATGCGAAAAGGAAAAGAACCATAATTCAAAATAATGGCTAATATAATAGGAAGCCAACTGATGAGATGGAATGAAATTTTGAACGCGTTAAAAGACGTCGGATTGTGCTAGTGGCTAGGGTTGGCGGGAAAAAGATATAGGAAAAGTAGAGACGCTGCTCATATTTGTTTTGTCTCGCGTCCATTAGAACATCGACTCTTTCCGGTTACTTTTGTTTTTACGACCAACAGACCACACCACTTATGCTTCAAATCATTATTTTTATTATTGTTGTTGTTATTATTCTAATCAATTACTACTTTCTCCTTTTTCATTCTAGCAGAATTATTTCATTTCACCATTTTTTCCGACCGACTCTTGCTTTTCCTTTCTTCTATTTCATCTTCTTTTATTAATATGTTTTTATCTTTATTTTTCATCTTCCTTTTTCTTTCCTTTTTCTTATTCCATGTCTCTTTTTCTTTTCCTCTTCATCCTATTTTCTATGTGGGCCTTCATTTCGCTTTGCCTCTTATTCTTTCATCTTTTTTCTCTCCTTTTTCCTTCTACTCTTCCTCTTTCTCATTCACTTCTTCCTCACCAAAAAAGTAACACAAAATAAAAGGTGCGGTCGCTAAATCAGTTGTTAAGTTTGTGGGTCTAAATCAGATGTTAAGCTTTACAGAATCTATCTTTTTTAACCTGGTGAGTATTTTTTAGATTTGTTATTCTAACATTTTTTTGGTTTGACTTTCAATAGAGTTTTATTTGTCTAGTTCTTGTTTTGTTTTGTTTACATTTTATTTATTTATTTTTTGTCGATTTGCGCATGTGATAATTTTCTGGAAATTTCACATATAAGACTTATATAAAAGATTTAGAAGCTAATGTTACGGAAGAAAAGACGGAAAATGGTATTTTCTGATAAATTTTGTAAATTAATGGTAATAATGGTTTTATATAAATGATACAGCTTACTTCAACAGCATTGATGTAGTTTGATGCCAATAAGTCAAATTTAGTCTTCTATTTAGTTCCTAGATTCAGTAAGAAGTTGCGAGTTTTCTTTCCTGTCCTCCACCTCCACAGATAGCGCCGTCGGTGCTTCCTTTTTCTTTTTTCTCTCTTCGCGTCTTTCTTTTACTTTTTGTTTCCATTTCTTCTTTGCGCTGATCATTATCGATAATCTCCTAATTGTAAATATTATTTCATGATTAATCTGATGACCAAACATCATCATCATTATTATTATTATTATTATTATTATTTCACACAAATTTGTATTTACACTAAAATTCTTCACAAATCTCCAGCACCTTCCTTAGTATCAATAACGCCAGCAACGTTGCGGTCAATGTAATCACAAACCTTTCTAGGATTTCCAACCCATCGAGATTTCGTTTTCTTATGGTTTTATTTTCATCTGATTTCTTACCCCACCTCTACCTTTTCCCTTTCTTCACTTTTTTCCCTCCATCCCCCTTAGTTTCTTTCTTCTTTTTTTTTGTCTTGTAATCTATGAATAGGCATTTATATATATATATATATATATATATATATATATATATATATTATTTTTTTAAAAAAAAATATAACATAAGTATGTTCTAAAAATCACTACAAAAATAGCCATTTTGTTTCAACACACTCTGTGTCTTATCAAGTGATGATGTTGAAAAAAAAATAAATGGTTTTTAAAATTTCAGATTAATTAACGATCCTACACTAGGGGGAAACATTGTTACAAAAGCTAGAATAACCAATCATATAGCTATTCAGATCTTTAAATACGTGTAATATTAAAAATAATTTATACTAACCAATAATTGTAAAATTATATGATAAAATTTAATATTAAAATTAAAAACTGGCAATTTTAAAATATATATATATTATATGTAGTCTGTTGTATGGATACGTTTAGCTCTATCACTGATATTGAGCGCTTTCCACTAAGTACTGCACCTATAAAAGCAATATATATATATATATATATATATATATATATATATATATATATATATCGCTATATAGAATTTCTCCAACTTTATTTTCTTTCCAAAGAAGAATTCCATGATGTTGTATAATAAAAACATGATAGTGACATGCGAGATGGAGTAATAGATAAGGGTCGGAATTAGAACTCAAGTTCTCCGACTTCCAATTCCGAGTTAATTTTTCATCTTCCAAAGTTTCTTCTTTGTATATTTTCCGTCTTTCTTTTCTACTTTTCTTAATTTCTCTTCCTGCATCTTCTTCCTCTATATTCATTATTTATTATTCTCAAAATCTTCAGACTATCGTCCGCATCTTTAGTGTTTTTCTCATCTTTCTCTTTCTTGTCTTCTTCAATATCTCACTTTTTCAATTCTTGTCTCCCTTGGCCTCTTTCGGTGTTCATCTCGCTCTCTCTCTCTCTCTCTCTCTCTCTCTCTCTCTCTCTCTCTCTCAAAGATCTTATCTTAATTTTCTCTCAAAACCTATCTCAATATTTCACCTTACCTCTGTCTGTCTGTCTCTGTCTCTCTCTCTCTCTCTCTCTCTCTCTCTCTCTCTCTCTCTCTCTCTCTCTCTCAAGATCTGTATCTTACTTTTTCTCTCACTGCCTGTCTCAATATTTCACCTTACCTCTGTTTGGATCTGTCTGACTCTCTCTCTCTCTCTCTATCGATATATATATATATATATATATATATATATAGAGATCTTAGAGAGAAGAGAATAAGAATATAGAGATTTCTCTATACAGAGGGACAGAGATTCAGAGAGAGATTTGTTTCTCTATTCCCACTCTTTCTCACTTCCTTCGTTTAATTTTTCCTCTCTTTCTATTTGACTTTGGCCATCCCTCATATTAAGTCTTCTATTTCCTTTCTCTCTCATTACCTCGTCACCCTATCACTCATTTCTCTCTCTCTCTCTCTCTCTCTCTCTCTCTCTCTCTCTCTCTCTCTCTCTGTGTGTTTTATTTATTTTTCTCTTATTTTCTTCCTCTATTTGATTTACTTTCGATTACTAACTACACTTTCTCGTTTGCTTTTGCTCCCCGTCAGCTTCTTTCACTCTTGTGAAGGTTGTTTTCTCTCTCTCTCTCTCTCTCTCTCTCTCTCTCTCTCTCTCTCTTCTTTTTCATTTCCTTTTTGTTGTTGTCCTTTTCGATCTCACACCTTCTCTTTAACATTCAGATATTTCCTTTCATTTACCTATATTTTATTTTTATTTTTTTGTAAGGACGACATTTTTCTCTTTCGGAAAGAAAGAAAGAAAGAAAGAAAGAAAGAAAGAAAGAAAGAAAGAAAGAAAGAAAGAAAGAAAGAAAGGTGAGTCTTGATAGGAAAGAAAACAAAATAACCTAATAAAATGCCTGAACTTCATATCTGTCATCCTGTATGACAATAAATGCTAGACAATCAAAGAATGAAGAAGAGACTTGAAGCAACAGAAATGTGGTTCTACAGAAAGACGTTGAGAATACCATGAACTGAACATATGAGCAACGACAAGGTTTTGGACAAAATGGAAACAAAAAGGAAACTTATATTTAACATCAGGAAGAGGTAGTTGAAATTTCTAAGACACGTGATGAGGAAAAAGGGCTTGGAAAATTTGATACTCATAGGACAGATTGAGGGAAAGGGACAGAGGAGAACAGCGTGTAACGTACTTGATGAGCTTCAGTAAATGAATAGTATTACAGGGTTTGGAAGAAATAACAAAAAGACAAAACTTATTAAGAGTCACAAGGGACAGGAAGATGTGAAGGTCCATGATCGCTTATGTCCTGAAGGCGCATAAAAGAAAGAAGATATGATAAAAGAGTGTACAAAAGGAAAAACGAATGAACAATATAGTAAATAATGAGAGCGAGGAATAAAAGAAAATAAGATTTAACCCCCGGAAGTGAGCGTAATACAGGGTGCGGCAGAAATACCTCCCACATATACCTCCCAGATAATGGTAAGACAATAGTGGCAATGGTGTCTTTGTCTAGATAATGTTTACGATTATGTGAGAGGTATTTCTTCGGTACCCTGTAGATAATACGAAAGAGAAAGCAAATCGCAAAAACTCGGGACTGTGAAAAATTTGTGAAGATTTACTAATAATTCGTGTAAGAAAAAGAAGCAAATCTTGACGACAGGAAAAAGTAAAAGAAGTTTAAAGGCGGGAGAAATATTGCGTAACAGAGAGAATGCCTGCAAGAATGATAAAGAAACGCGGAAAGTAGAAAAGAAACGGTGAAAATATGAACATTGAAAGGAAAATAATGAAGTAATAAGATACGGAATTCCAAAGCGAATTACAGTTATCCGTGATTTGATCGAATAAAAAAGAATCGGAGAAAGAAAGAGGGCTATATGTAAACCAAAAATGGAAAACTGAACTAAAGGGAGGTAACCGACTGAGAAAGCGTAGATCAAAATAAGAAATAAAAGAAATAAAAAGCTTAGGAAGTGAATCCTGGTGTTACCGATATGATACTCGTTTCAATTCGTTCGATAGAGAGAACGATAAAAAAAAAACGACATTTTAAATCGAAAGACTACAATAACAAAAAGGAGAGAGAAAACAAATCAGAAGAAACATTAAGAGGAAGTTTATGCGGGTCGAGAGAGACGATCTAGAGGATTTGTCCACAATGGAGACAGCGGAAACTTGGTGACGCAGGCCGTGCCGGAGATGGTAATATTGATAACTGAGTGTCATGAAGTCGTTTCCGGCCAGTCCATACCGGACGTCCATCATGGCCGACCCATCTGTCATGGCGACGAATGGACAGAGGGCGCCCGCTGCCCGGTTACCCGTACGAGATAACGGAAACACTTAAAACCAGGGGCAAGCAAAAAGGGGAAAATGTCTTGAAAGCCCTGGCCATCCGCCGGTATCTGCTTACAGCTCATATTCTACGAGTTAATTCACAGTCATTAGTTAAAAGCGATCGGCTGGATGATTATGACAACAATTTGTTGCGCGGTTACAGATTGAGCTTGGCGAGGAAGGAGTTTGAAGTGCTGGGAGGGGAAATTAGTCGGTGACAGGAATGAAGTGGCTAGTGAAATGAGAAGGAGAAGTCGCTGCAAAGGGAACATGAGAGGAGAGCGTAAGAATCAGTAAAGAAAAAATCGTTGGAAGGTAGAAAGGAACAAAAACATAATAATCAAATAGAAAAGGATCATTGTGTAGGAAAATTAAATAAACAAGGAATGAATAGAAAAGGTGAGTAAAGAAGGAAAATTTTAGCGAAGAAGAAACAGAAAAAGATAATAAGAAGTGGTGAAAAGAAAAACGAGAGACTGACTGGGAGTGAAGAAAAAAATATCAAAGATCGTAAGAACGAGTAAGAGAAATGGCGAAAAGAAATCGAAGCAGATGAGATGACTCCTCAGTATGTATGAGAAAAACAGAGGGAAAGAAAGAAAGAAAGAAAGAAAGAAAGAAAGAAAGAAAGAAAGTGAGACTCATGTGTCTGAATGAAAATGGGCAAAAATGAAATAAAGATATATGAAGGCGGTGGTGTGGTAAATGAAAAAAAAAGAAAGAAAGAAAAAGACGAAGGAATTTCTAAAAACGAAATGAAAGAGGAAGAAAAGAAAAACAATAATGGTAGAAATTGCAGATAAGATGATTTCCCAGTTTATGTAAAGGAGGAACAGAAGAAAAAAAGAATAACAGCAAAAAGAAAGAATTTAATGAGACAGAAAAAAAGACAATGATGGTAGAAATGCTGGAAATATCACGAAAAGTAGAAAATGTTACTTAAACCAAAAAGAAAAATTATTATGAAGAAACGATATTGTAATAGAACTATGAAAAAGATGAGCATTAAAAAAATGAACACGAAATAATAAAAAAAAGAGGGGAATAAACAATGAAATAAAAATATTTAGGGAGAAATATGGACAACAAAGAGAAATAAAAAGAATTTAATGAATGGTAAAGTCAGTTCAGCTGAACTGGAAATATTGTCAACGCCAATTTCAAGCTTAGGTTTTGTTGATGTTTTTATTTTTGTTTTATTTTTGGCTCTTACTTTGTGCTATTAAGCAGCTAATTATGTGAAAAGGGGAGATAATTTACAGCGAGCGGAAACAGCACTGAACAAAATGGCGGCTCGTTTAAGAGCAAAAGAGAAACCAAAAGAGGATTTTTTTTATCTTTTTTATCCTGCATTTATTTTCATTTTGTATTTTTATTTATTTATTTTAGTGATTTATGTGATCTCTTCGTTTATTTAAGTTGCTTATCTCTATCGTCACGGATCTCACATGTCAAAATCGTTATCCGTGTATATCCGTTCGTCGTAGCTTTTGCTGCTCGGTAGAATATTCAACGGAACTTCCGGTGAAAAAGGCCACAGATCGATGAGGTGACCACCAAAATGTACACACACACACACACACACACACACACACGTACGTGAAAAACAAATGATTAGAATGTGGGAAAATACCAGACGGAGAAATAAAGAAAATACGTAAGAAAAGTTTGACTATGACGAAAGAAAAGATAAACAGTGCGGCTTTAAAGTAGAACAAAGAGGGAAAGGGCGGGACAAAAGTCAAGACGAACGAAAAAAGTATGAGGAAAAACTTATAAGAAAAGAGACAGAATGAAATGGCGGGAAAAGGAAAAGCGATAAAGGCGGGAAATTGGTCAGAGAGAGATTAAAAGTAAAATTTCACATGACAAGTAAATACAGAGAAAAGATGGAAATCTAAGGAGAGATGCAAAATCAATCCAAAATGTTACTGTTGGTCAGCGATACACACACACACACGTTCATTATATATATATATATATATATATATATATATATATATATATATATATATAGTGTGTGTATTTAGGCAACAAACCTTCATTTATGCATGTTTCGTTAAAAACGACAGACAAGGTACTACGGTTAAGCTTTTTATTTAATTTTTCTTGTGTTCGAACAGGTGTTTTCTTTTTTGGACACAGAGTGTGTAGAAACTGTCCAAATGTTTTATAGTTTGGAGCGCTTTCGGCTATACTTTTAGCTATTATCAAGGATGATTTTATTTAATTTTTTCTGTTTAATTGAGTGTGTGAGTTATGTGCATGTTTTTAATGTTATGGAGATGATCTATTTTCTGAACGCGATTAGCACATTGTGGACTTGTTCGTAATTAATATTGTTAAACGTTGACTTTTTCTTTTTTTATTATTAGGGCTTCCATTATTTTTTATCTTTTTTTTACAGATGGATGAGGTTATTATGTTTGTGTTTTCTACTAGTATATTTCGAATGGAGCCTGGTAAGTTTGTGTGTGTTTATATATATATATATATATATATATATATATATATATATATATAATAGAAAAATATATCAACGTAAGCACACGAACGAAAAAGTTCAAACCTGCTTTGTGCTGAAATATTGTGGTCTTATACTAGACCAATCATAGTACACCAATCAACCTATACGCATACAGATTTAGACCCTTTTCTGAACGTTTTCTATTTTAGTGCTGTGTTTTACGAAACTAAACTTGATAAATTCTGTGCCTATGAGCGTACTCACGAATTTGACAATACATATACATATGTGTGTAACCAGTGACGGATTTCCATATAGGCTTAGAAAGCTGAAACCTAGGGCCTCAAAATCGTGAGAATTTAAATCCGGCCTGGCCATTCTGTAGTAACAATCCATGAGGTTCGAAGAAGGATGGTCATCTCTAAGAATTACAAGCTTTATTCACTCAAAATCATTTTTAATAGAATGATCTGTGAAAGTAGTTGTATATATTTGACAGTTTCGACATCTCTGAAAGGGTTGGGTGATATGCATATTTTATCCACATATGAAAGTCTAGATCTGACTGGACTATTTCAGAACATTATTCGAGCTTTTAAATTCTTTGGTTTTGTAGCAACTTGCGGTCTTGGGCAAAAACATCCTTAGCTCAGTTCAATTTCCTTCTGGAAACTATTTTCATGATAAAAATAATGGTTATTAACTATTTTTGTTTCATTCATTGTTGCCTATAGAACCTTACTTAACAATCAAGCTCCATAGGTAATTTTTAGTTGGTCTTATGCTAGACCAACCATAGTATACCAATCAACCTATACGCATACAGATTTAGACTTTTTCCTGAACGTTTTCTATTTTGGTGCTGTGTTTTACGAAACTAAACTTGGTAAATT